AGAAGACATCGCGCTTCCATGACATGAACTCTCTCACATGTTCCTGTATGTAAAAAAAATCCTATTAGAACAGCTGAAATTTTATATGGGCTTTATCAGGGTATTTTTCAGTGATGACAGGTGTGGACTGATTATAATTTAATATCAGTTTGAATGTGATTGGTTAATTCTTAAAGGATAAGTTCACCTTTCATAACATGTTACATCCATTTTGTTGGTTGTGACATGTTACGAACAGGCTGGCCCCTGCTCCCCCCCCCCCCCCCCACCCGCTTTGACAGCTAGTGGGCCGTGGCCGTGCAGGGCTCTGCCCACCCAGCCACATCGCTCATTCACAGTCCTCTGAATGAGAGGTTACAAGTCCCAACAGCTTTAGCGACTGACACCATGTAACCCTCAACGAACTACCACAGTGCTGTGGAGAGCCGTGGTAGTTCATTCATTTTTCCTGTCAGTATATCTGCTTGCTCGTACACCCCGTAAGGGCAAGCAGATATACTGACAGATCTGCAGGAGACCTACATGGCACCAACAATCTGCTGATCGCTGGTGCATGGGTTTATAGGCTCTTGTAGGCAAAAATAATATATGTGCATTTTTTTACCTGCAAAGTGAACTTATCCTTTAACTCAGCCTCATCCCTAATTATAAGAGGGTGTGTACACTTATGCAGTCAGACTTTAGGTTTTTTTTTTCCCTACTAAAAAATTTCAGTTTGTTTTTTGAATTGAACTGTACAGATTATAGGTCACATTAAAGCTTTTGTATATATACATACAGTCAGGTCCATAAATATTGGGACATCGACACAATTCTAACATTTTTGGCTCTATACACCATAATGGATTTGAAATGAAACAAACAAGATGTGCTTTAACTGCAGACTGTCAGCTTTAATTTGAGGGTATTTACATCCAAATTAGGTGAACGTGTAGGAATTACAAAAGATTGCATATGTGCCTCCCACTTGTTAAGGGACCAAAAGTAATGGGACAATTGGCTTCTCAGCTGTTCCATGGCCAGGTGTGTGTTATTCCCTCATTATCCCAATTACAATGAGCAGATAAAAGGTCTAGAGTTCATTTCAAGTGTGCTATTTGCATTTGGAATCTGTTGCTGTCAACTCTCAAGATGAGATCCAAAGAGCTGTCACTATCAGTAAAGCAAGCCATCATTAGGCTGAAAAAAACAAACAAACCCATCAGAGAGATAGCAAAAACATTAGGCGTGGCCAAAACAACTGTTGGGAACATTCTTAAAAAGAAGGAACGCACCGCTGAGCTCAGCAACACCAAAAGACCCAGAAGACCACGGAAAACAACTGTGGTGGATGACCGAAGAATTCATTCCCTGGTGAAGAAAACACCCTTCACAACAGTTGGCCAGATCAAGAACACTCTCCAGGAGGTAGGTGTATGTGTGTCAAAGTCACCAATCAAGAGAAGACTTCACCAGAGTGAATACAGAGGGTTCACCACAAGATGGAAACAATTGGTGAGCCTCAAAAACAGGAAGGCCAGATTAGAGTTTGCCAAATGACATAAAAAAACGTTCTGGAACAACATCCTATGGACAGATGAAACCGAGATCAACTTGTACCAGAGTGATGGGAAGAGAAGAGTATGGAGAAGGAAAGGAACTGCTCATGATCCTAAGCATACCACCTCATCAGTGAAGCATGGTGGTGGTAGTGTCATGGTGTGGGCATGTATGGCTGCCAATGGAACTGGTTCTCTTGTATTTATTGATGATGTGACTGCTGATAAAAGCAGCAGGATGAATTCTGAAGTGTTTCGGGAATATTATCTGCTCATATTCAGCCAAATGTTTCAGAACTCATTGGACGCCGCTTCACAGTGCAGATGGACAATGACCCAAAGCAGACTGCAAAAGCAACCAAAGAGTTTATTAAGGGAAAGAAGTGGAATGTTATGCAATGGCCAAGTCAATCACCTGACCTGAATCTGATTGAGCATGCATTTCACTTGCTGAAGACAAAACTGAAGGGAAAATGCCCCAGGAACAAGCAGGAACTGAAGACAGTTGCAGTAGAGGCCTGGCAGAGCATCACCAGGGATGAAACCCAGCGTCTGGTGATGTCTATGCGCTCCAGACTTCAGGCTGTAATTGACTGCAAAGGATTTGCAACCAAGTATTAAAAAGTGAAAGTTTGATTTATGATTATTATTCTGTCCCATTACTTTTGGTCCCTTAACAAGTGGGAGGCACATTTGCAAACTGTTGTAATTCCTACACTGTTCACCTGATTTGGATGTAAATTAAAGCCGACAGTCTGCAGTTAAAGCACATCTTGTTTGTTTCATTTCAAATCCATTGTGGTGGTGTATAGAGCCAAAAATGTTAGAATTGTGATGATGTCCCAATATTTATGGACCCAACTATATAATATATATATATATATATAAATATATATATAAAATATATATATATAAATATATAATATATAAATATATATATAAATATATATATAAATAAATATATAAATATATATATAAATAATATATATATATATATAATATATATATATAAATAAATATATATATATAAATAAATATATATAAATATAATATATATATATATATAATATAAATATATATAAATAAATATAATATATATATATATATAATATATATATATAAATATATATACATATAAATATATATATAAATATATATATATAATATAAATATATATATATAATATATATATATATATATATATATATAATATAATATATATATACATATAAATATACATATATATATATATATAAATATAAATATATATACATATAAATATACATATATATACATATAAATATATAATATATATATATATAAATATACAAACATATATATACAAACATATATATACAATATATATATATATATAAATATAAATATATATATATATATATATACATACATATATATATATATATATATATATATATATATATATATATATATATATATATATATATATATATATATATATAATATATATATATATACACACACATATATATATATATATATATAAATATAAATACATACATATATATACATACATACATACATACATACACACACACACACGCCTGCAGACTGCTGAAACTCACTAGTGGGGATCTAGCTAACAGGTAAGACAAGGCCCCAGCATGGTCCTAGCCTGCACTCATAGTAGTTGATTTATTGATTAGTATCCATTCAGCCTGAGCGGCATCCAGAATTTTGGTTTGGGGTCCTTGTAAAGGAGACTTTATCCTGTCCAAGACTCTACAAAGCTTCTGGGCTTCAGGACCCAAGTAGTTAAAAGGAAAAAAAAAAGACTCCAGTTGACATTAGTGTTAACCCATGAGAAAGAAAGCCATGGTCCTTTGTTCACCTATCAGCACATAGGAATGGTCATTTATAACAGCTACATAAACACAGCAGAAACTCCAGAGCTGGACATGACCCTGTGAAGCTTGGCTGGTGGAGCAGAACTGTTGACCCTGCATGTGATTTGTGGTAAAGGCTTTGCTCAATTACAAGTCAATTATAGTCTCTGTGTACTTGGACAGGCCACACGCACCCACTCATTTTCCTGTTTTAGGCTTGGCTCAGACAAGTGTTAGGGCGATACTGCCAGCAGGAAACTTTTATTTTCACCAAACTGAGCACAAACATCTCTGCTCCTCTGATAGTAAAGTCCGCTGTTTACTGTTATAAGCATCCTACAAGGAAGCCTATAAAGTGAAGTGACCACAAAGCTCACATGGAATTCTAAACTGCCCATACATGAAGATTCAAGAAAATCGGTAATAGCTCAAGGTGGTAACATCGCTGTGAAGTGCAGGTACTTTGTGGTGTCTTCAAGAAACTGTGTTTAGCATTTAAACTGATCCTTGTGGAGCTACTTGGTTCCTAGGCCTAGGTTGTACAGAGTGCAAGGCCTGGACGAGGGCTCAGTATTCTAATGTAGGGAGGACAGGGAGAGGTTCCACATCCCCTCCCTCGACCTCATCCATATCTCCATCAGTCCAGGACCACACAGAAGTTGACAGCTCATTCAACTGCCACTGTCATTTTCAAACACAAAAGCCAGCAGAGCGACAGATAGCAGGCAGGTCCAATGACATCATGATGTATTGATACCCTATGCCAGCCTTTGTCAATCTTTTCAGCATGGTGGAACCCATGAAATATCTTTTAGGTCTCAGGGAATTTTGAATAATAATTACTATATTGACATGGTACTTTTTTCAACACAGAAGCCAGCAGAAGAACAAATAGCAGGCAGGTCCAATGACATCATGACGTCACTGTGCACTTCCAGGTCCATGTAAAACCCAACTGGCAAACTGATACAGAGAAAAGCATGGCGGCAGCTGGAAGTGGGATCCCAGCTTCAGAAGACAATTGGGAACACACTTCAACAGGGTAAGTAGGGGGTACACAGTTAGGCATACTTGCCCTGGGCACTCTATCAGCTTGACCCAGCACTGACAGTGGGTCTCCACTTCAACCCAAGTTAAGGCTCTACCCCTCCAACTATGAAAATGGTTCTGATCATCACGGACGTTTGGCTGAAAAGTATCACAAATACTTGCAGGTACTATAATACCATCAGGGCAGCAGTACTGATACCCTAGGCCAGCCTCTCTCTACCTTTCCAGCATGGAGAAACCCTTGAAATAACTTTAATTCCTCAGGGAATCCCGAATAATTACTATATCAACAGTTCATGATACGCAAGAGTGATGGTCAATGGGAACAATGCTACAGACATCTCAGGTCAATGGGAAGAATCCCATCCTTACAGATATCTGAAAGATCAGTGGTGTCAGTGGTTACTCATCTTAGAAGAAGAAGCTGCTCATTGCTCCAGGAACCCTCTGCAATCTCTGCAGGAACATTATGGTTCCATGGAACCCTGGTGAGAAAGACTGGACTAGGCACTTGACAGGCTGCCTTTAAAGTGTGTGCATTACTAAACACCGGACCCTGCATTCACTATATCCGGTCTCTTCGGACCCTGCATTCACTATATCCGGTCTCTTCGGACCCTGCATTCACTATATCCGGTCTCCCCGGACCTGCATTCCTGCATTCACTATATCCCCGGTCTCCCCGGACCCTGCATTCACTATATCCGGTCTCCCCGGACCCTGCATTCACTATATCCGGTCTCCCCGGACCCTGCATTCACTATATCCGGTCTCCCCGGACCCTGCATTCACTATATCCCCGGACCCTCCCCGGACCCTGCCTTCACTATATCCGGCCTCCCCGGACCCTGCCTTCACTATATATCCCCGGACCCTGCTGTATCCGCTCCCCGGACCCTGCCTTCACTATATCCCCGGACCCGCATTCACTATATCCGCTCCCCGGACCCTGCATTCACTATATCCGCTCTCCCCGGACCCTGCATTCACTATATCTGGTCTCCCACAGTACACAGAACATGGAAATGCAATTATTTTAGTAAATATAAACTACTAAATACCTTTTCTCATCAGCAGTATATAGCAGTCTTGTAACTTCTATCAGTGTCCAGCAGAGCACTGGTTAAAACCTGTAGGTGGAGTTTTCTCTCTGCTCTAGGAGGATGCAGAACCCCTGACCTCTGTCTGGACAGTGTTGATTGGCCCTGTGGTGATCACATGCACTCTCCCAAGGAAAAAAAAAAACCTCTCTAGCAATACACACCAAACTGAGCATGTGCAGAGTGACTCCAGAAAATATGTCTTATCAGGAGATAAGAGGGGGACACTGGAAGAAGGGGAGGACCGGAGAAGTCAGGATCAAACCACCTTTTTACACAATGCAAATGATTAACCCCTTAGGTTCCACAGTGAGTATAACCAGCATGATTTACTGCACATACAGACTGATTGTACTGCTGTGGGTTTTTGTGGGTATGTTTAATAGTAAAGAAAAAAAAAATCCCCTGTGGCTGAATAGCAAACATAATAAGAAAGTTCTCTCTTTTTTAGTTGTGAAGAAACTGATAGTTGTCTTAGCATGTACATACTCCTAGTGAATACTAAAATGAGAGGATATGCTTCCATTATCATCACCTGGGCACATTGGTGCTGCAACTGGAGAAGCACAGATTCAGCATCCCTTTACATATAAATGAGAGAGCGGGACTTTCTATAAGGCACATTAGGTCCATGCCTATAGGTGCCTCTCTGACGTGTGTGTTTGAAATCTATGGAACTAGCTGTCACTTTAATACCTGAGTCTAGATTTCAGCTTCTGTACGTTTTAACATAATGGCAGGATTATTTATACAAGAGCTGCTGTCATGCTGGTTTCCCATATACACTGCTCAAAAAATTATAGGGACACTTTTTAATCAGAGTATAGCATCAAGTCAATGAAACTCCTGGGATATTGATCTGGTCAGGTAAGTAGCAGAGGGGGTTGTTAATCCGTTTCAGCTGCTTTGGTGTTATGAAAATTAAAAACAGGTACACTAGATGGGCAACAATGAGACAACCCCCAAAACAGGAATGGTTTTACAGGTGGAGGCCACTGACTTTTTTTCTCTACTCATCTTTTCTGACGGTTTTTCACTAGTTTGGCTAGGGTCAGTGTCACTACTGGTAGTATGAGGCGATACCTGGATCCTACAGAGGTTGCACAGGCAGTCCAACTCCTCCAGGATGGCACATCAATACGTGCCATTGCCAGAAGGTTTGCTGCGTCCCCCAGCACAGTCTCAAGAGCATGGAGGAGATTTCAGGAGACAGGCATTTACTCTAGGAGAGATGGACAGGGCCATAGAAGGTCCTTAACCCATCAGCAGGACCGAAATCTGCTCCTTTGTGCAAGGAGGAACAGGATGAGCACTGCCAGAGCCCTACAAAATGACCTCCAACAGGCCACTGGTGTGAATGTCTCAGAATAATCAGAAACAGACTTCATGAGGGTGGCCTGAGGGCCCGACGTCCTCTATTGGGCCCTGTGCTCACTGCCTGGCACCATAGAGCTCGATTGACATTTGCCATTGAACACCAGAATTGGCAGGTTGACCCTGAGCACATGTGACAGACGTGAAAGGGTCTGGAGAAGCCGTGGAGAATGTTCTGCTGCCTGTAACATGGTTCAGCATGACCGTTTTGGTGGTGGGTCAGCGATGGTCTGGGGAGGCATATCCATGGAGGGATGCACACCTCAACAGCTTAGACAATGGCACCCTGACTGCCATTAGGTATCGGGATGAAATCCCTGTACCCATTGTCAGACCCTACGCTGGTGCAGTGGGTCCTCGGTTCCTTCTGGTGCACGGCCTCATGTGGCGAGAGTATGCAGGCAGTTCCTGGAGGATGAAGGAATTGATACCACTGAATGGCCCCCACGCTCACCTGACCTAAATCTAATAGAACACCTCTGGGATATCATGTTTCAGTCCATCTGACGCCACCAGGTTACACCTCAGACTGTCCAGGATCTGGGAGGAAATCACCCAGGACACCATTCATCGTCTCATTAGGAGCATGCCCCGACGTTGTCAAGCACGTAGTGGCCATACAAAGTACCTTTTGAGTTGCTGCAATGAAATTTCAGCAAAACAGACTCGCCTGCTGAATCATTTTTTCACTTTGATTTTCGGGGTGTCTTTGAATTCAGTCCTCTGTAGGTTGATCATTTTCATTTCCATCAAACGATGGGGTGTCCTTACGTAACACATTCCCCCGTCCATAACAGTATAGATATCCAGCATGAAAAATTTCCCCATTGAAATATGATGGGTTTTCAAAGTGTTTTTAATTTTTTTGAGCAGGGTATGCCTTTCGTTACCATTTACTTTCAACAGCACCCCAATGCATAAGGCGACGCACCTGCACTACACCGTAATGCACTGCTATATGTTGTGGTCAGGGGCGGACTGACCATTTGGAAACTTGGGCACTGCCCGAGGGCCGGGGTCAGTAGGGGGCCCATGAGATGCCCCTGGTACCTTTTTCATAGGCTTTTTTGAGTTTGGGCAAGGACACAGGGGCCCCATGATCCCCTATTGCCCGGGGGCCCCATGAGTTGTCAGTCCGCCCCTGGTTGTGGTGCATTGCATCACAAATCAACCATGCAAGTGTGTTTTGGGTCTACTCTGTGTGCACTGCCAGCCTAGTCAGATAAATTGCCTGCCTTAACCCAACACAAACTCAAATCATAACACCCATGTTCTAATGCAACACACCAGAAGGGGGCCTCAGCGCTCCTCTATCAGTGTAAACAAAGCCACATGCTTGTTTATATAGGAGCACTGTCAGCACAACTGGTTTATAAATACATTGTAACAGTATTGTTACAATGTACTTTTTTAATTAGTTATTTTAATAACAAATCAAAGATGTTATCCTTAATATGGACTCAATTTACAAAACTTTAAACAGAAGGATAGGGAACTTTATTTCAGCTGCATTTCATTGGCTCTGTACATATGCTTTGCACAATGACAAAGTTGAAACTAATCTAATCTAATATGGGTAGATTAATGCAGGCCATAGACGGGTCGAAAACCGGCCTTTTTTTTATAAAAAAAAAAAACAAAAATCGATCAATCGGCCGACGTTACCACCAACGGTAAAAAAAAAACCGGCTGATTTTCGTCCCGTCTACGGCCGGCATTTTTACTTCTGTCCCTTGCAGAGAGCTCCGCTATTATATTTTACATGGAAAAGTCTTGCAGTTGCAACAATGTATCCATTTGTATCCATTTCGGATACAGATTTTTTTTTTTTATTCGGATACAAATAGATACATTGTTGCAACCGCAAGACTTTTCATCTAAAATATAATAGCGGACTGGAATTCTTTTTTTTCTTATTTTTCTTCTTTTTCTTGCAGGTCACGGCTCATGCGCAGATTCTTTATCGGTAAAACGATCGGCCGATTTGCCCATCATTGCTGGGAAAATTGGCCGATCAAAATTGCCTGCGAATTTTCCAACTTGACCGATAAAAAAAATGTGCCAAAACCCTGAAAAACGGCCGACCAATTAACCCACTAATGGTGCGATAATCGTCCGATTTTCAACCCGTCTATGGCCTGCATTAGACATGCAGCTAAATCTCCCTTAACTGTGAAATCCAATCCACATTCAAACTGCACTGTAGAGGCTACTAACAGGCGGTGAAGAAGCAATGTGACGCCTCTTGCCAACGGTTTTAACCTCATCTTTGTCAACAAATGCAGTTGGGAGACGTTTGTGGCGCTTCCTCATTTGCTTGGCTGTATAGAGTTTGGTGCCAGCCTCCTGCTACATGTCGGGGGAAATTTGCTGCTTGCACAAAATGAAGCAACGTGGCCCCAACATGTGAACACCCCTGTCTGCTGCCTATTGCAGCTTAAGAAGGGGAGGTTGACAGGCGACAAAGGTGTGGCTCAACCGCCCATTTATGCAGTCCCCCCAACCGCAAGTCTAAATGAAGCCTAACTAAATTTAAAATCTCCTTGACTTTACTGAAAATAACTTTCACTTAAAAAAAAAAAAAAAAAAAAAAAAAAAAAAAAAAAGAATTCTTAGGGCTCATGTACACTGCAGCTGATAAACTCACGTTTAGGAGCTGTTCAGCGTTTTTTTCAGCAGCCCCTGAACTCTCCCTAATGTTTTCCTATGTGTCCATGTACACATCATCATTTACAGTCATTTACAGGCATTTGAGTTTACAGTTGTTTTTCTGAACGCAGAAAACTTGCGTTCAGCAGTTGATTTTATCTGCGTTTCAAACCGTGAAACGCTTGTAAACGCGGCAAATAACTCTTCCAGTTCCCAATGCTGTCCAGAACCCTTTTTCATCATGAAAAATGTATGCAAAGCGTTTTCAAGGTACTCAGATGACAAAACACTGAACACAGGATGTTCCTACCAAGCTTGTCACACATTGTAATGACCAATTCACACCTCAGACCTCTCCCACCCTTGGAAACAAAAGATATGTTAATGACCATTCACACCTCAAATTCCTCATGAAGACCCCCTGCCAGGTGACCTTAATGACTCCCTCCACCAGACACCTTTTCCACCCTTGGAAACAAAAGAAATGTTAATGAGCAAATCGAACCTAATTATCTCAACACATACTGCTGTCTCTGCTTCTACTCTCTGTATTTCTCTGATACAGTCTGAAATAGTTAATAATTTACCACTTTTCAGTGCATTCTGGGCATTTGGGAGGTTCTCCTGTGCTTATCTTTAAAAAACGCTTCTAAACACAAACACATATAAACTTGCATAAATGCGTTATGCAAACGCGTCTAAACAGACGTTTTTTAACCTACGTTTTACAGCAATCAGTTTCCATCGTTCAGAAATGTCCCGTATACATGGGGCCTTATCCTGGTGTATTGAATAGAACGGATATAGAAATTGGACCCTGCTTCATGGGGTTTTTTGGCCTTGCACTGGATCAGCTGTGGGTATAGAATTGTGTATATGGAGGTTTTATATATTTCTTTT